CCAGGGCCGGGGACAAACTGCAACCGAGGTACATGCCCTTAGCGGGAACCGAACCCGGGTCTCTCCGGACCGCAGGCGGATGCTCTAACCGCTGAGCCAAACCGGCCAGGGCTTTCTTTTTTATTTATTTATTTATTTTTTAATGCACTTACTACATTTTGTTACACATATTTTTTTCTTCTTCTTCTTAAGACCCTTTAACATTTCTTGAAATACTAGTTTGGTGGTGATGAACAACTTTAGCTTTTCTTGTCTGAGAAACTCTTATCTGTTCTTTGATTCAAAATAACTTTACTAGGTAGAGTAATCTTGGTTGTGGGTTCTTGCTTTTCATCAGTTTGAATATTTCATGCCAGTCCCTTCTGGCCTGCAAAGTTTCTGTTGAGAAATCAGGTGACAGTCTTATGGGAGCTCCCTTGTAGGTAACTAACTGTTTTTTTCTTGCTGCTCTTAAGATTTTATCTTTGTCTTTAATCTTTTACATTTTAATTATGATGTGTCTTGGTGTGGGCCTCTTTGGATTGATCTTGTTTGGGACTCTCTGCATTTTCTTGACTTGTGTGTCTTTTTCCTTCACCACGTTAGGGAAGTTTTCAGTGACTATTTCTTCAAATAAGTTCTCACTGCATTGCTTTCTCTCTTCTTCTGGTACCTTAGTTTTAATGGTTACCCACATTCCCTGATATTTAGTAACTACTTTGGATAGCACTTAAAATATGAAACTTAGGTAAATGAGAGAGAGTAAGGGCAAGGAATTGAGTGACCATTATCTGAAGATTTGCAATCAGAGGATCCTAATAAAAATAAAGTAATCATAATCAAATGGGTTAATTGATTATATTACATTAAAAATTAGGAATGCCTGACTTAATAAACTCATTCATTCTTTCATTCATTCATCCTGTTTAACAAACATCTCTTGAATATCCACAATAGGCTCTAGAGATACAGACATATTTGGTACCAGCACTTTGCCACATTTCCTGCTGCAGAGTTGTCTTGGCTAAACTCCACACAGAGTTATCTTGGCTAAACTCCACACAGAGTTGTCTTGGCTAAACTCCACACAGTGCCCACCTACTGTGGAACGTGCTATGGGCCCCAGTACAAGAGCAGTCCTCTGTGGACTTGGACTCGCCTCTCCTCTTCCCTGTGTTCTTTAAGTTCTTCTGCACTTTGTTGTTGTTGTTGTTAATCCTTACCCTAGGATATTTTTCCATTGATTTTTAGATAGAGTGGAAGGGAGGGAGAGAAACATCTATGTGAGAGAGACACATCGATTGGTTGCCTCCTGCATGACCCTGACCAGGGCTGGGGATCAAACCTGAGACCCTTTGGTGAGCAAAACCTACTAGGGCAGTTCTGCACTTTTTATCCCCTTTTACCTCAGTCCCACTTATCTTCCTACTTTTTCACAAAGAGATAAAATAAGTCATTCTGAAAGTACAGTTGAGCCAAAGTTTTATTGACATTTGAAGATAATTCTGCCATTTAAAAAGGGGAACCAAGAAGCAATCTTATTCATTGAATGTCATTTCAAAGCCAGCTTTTCTGGGTGCAGCTATTCATTGAATATAACTTTCTTAAATTTTATTTTTATTTTTACGGCACAGATAACTTTTTAAATGGTTGGTCTTCATAATGTCCTAAAACATTTTTTTTTTTTTTTAATGAGGAAAACAATACTCTGGTTTCTCTTCAGATCATATAAAATGAGGAAAACAGCCCAGCCGGTATGGCTCAGTGGTTGTTGTTGTTGTTAATCTTCACCCTAGGATATTTTTTTCATTGACTTTTAGATAGAGTGAAAGGGAGGGAGAAAAACATCAAGAGGTCACTGGTTCAATTCCCGGTCAGGGTACATGCCCAGGTTGTGGGTCCGATCCCCAGTGGGGGACATGCAGGACGCGGCCAGTCGATGTTTCCATCTCTCTCTCCCTCTCTCCCTTTTTCTCTCTAAAACTAATAAAGAAACAATTTTTTTTTTTTAAATGAGGAAAACAAAGGTACAAAGTTTTGTAGCCTTAAAGACATCCACCTAACAGGTCTTTGTCACGATGTAAATTACGAACTCTTAGTGAAGTAATTTCCTGCCATCCTGTAGCCTTTGCTTTCCTGCCTTCACCGGCCTTTTAGTCCAGAGGTCCATGGGCTGTACAGCAGCGTTGCTTCATTGGTTCCTTAAAGACCTGCTAAGTAGTTGCTTGGTTTTGATTTCAGATTTATTGTTCACTTTTCTCTATATACACGAATACACAGCAATATAAATAGCTAAAATAAACTACAGACAAAACAGTATATGTGTGATTATGCATAATTACATTTAGACTTCTACACATTAGTATGTATAAAGTATTGTAGAAAACAAAGTGCTTGTATTATATAAATTTTAAGTGAGAAATTGAAGGAACAAATATATTGTCTCAATTCAAAAGATGTCAAACATATTACAACACACAAGTTTCTATTTTTGAAGTCCCTGGTGCCAAGAGCCGTATTTATTGTCGTGACTAGATAGTCAAGAAATGAATTGCTGTTGCCCTGTTTTCACACTGGAAGCTGTTCGTTCATGAGAACCACACCTTCGTCAGGACTGACTGACGCTGCTCTTTTGTGGGCGGACCGGTCACACTATTTTGACTCTTCTCACAATAAACTCCAGTCCCTGCAACTGAATCAATTATGTGGAAAACCACAAATCCACATTAACTGATATGAAGGCTAGAAAAAGTAGCTTAGATGGCCTTTTTCCCCCCATTCTACTAATAGAGATGTTGCATAGAACTGTTTAAGACACAAGTAGATAAATATCATTTATATTTGATCTAACCGAATAATATAGAGTTTTGGCTACTGAACCTTATTTGTACCAGTGAAAAGATACCTAGAAAACCTGAAAGGCACATATGGAGAAGGAGACATTTAAAAACAGTTGATTAGAGCAATGTTGTAGTGAAATACTAAAAATAACTTATATGTCCATCACTTAGGAAGTGGATTTTTAAATTTGAGGATGAATATTTGTTGGACTATTACCATATTTCATCTAAGTCAGGTATCAACTAAGTACAGCCTATGGGCCAAATATAGCCCACTGTTTTGCAAATAAAGTTTAACTGGAATGTAGCATGCTCATTTGTTTATGTTTAGTCTATAGCTACTTTCATGCTACAATTTCAGAGTTGATTTGTTACAATATAGATTGTATGATTCTCAAAATCCGAATAAAATATTTACTATCTGGCCCTTTACAGAAAAATGTTTACCAACTCCTGCCCTGGCCAGTTTGGCTCAGCGGTTAGAGTGTCGGCCTACGGTCCAGAGTGACCCGGGTTCAGTTCCCGCTAAGGGCACATACCTCAGTTGCAGTTTGTCCCCGGCCCTGGTTGGGTTGTGCGAGTGGCAACCACTCGATGTGTCCCTTTCATGTCGATGTTTCTCTTTCTCTCTCTCTTTCTCTATCTGAACAAAAAATGAAAAACTGTCCTTGGGTGAGGATAAAAAAACAAAACAACAGTTTACCAACTCCTGATCTAAGTTAAAATACCATCTAATGCAAAATGTACCATTACTTTATGTACCATTAATAAAAAAATAGTGTGTCAATTAAACTATGACAAGCCATCTATTGTAAAAATTCTCATTTTAGCAACATTAAAATATGAAAAAAATCATCTTAGAATTGATTATGATATATAGCCATTCAAATTAATAAACTATAGTGTTTGTATCAATGTGGATAGATTCAAATGCTTAATGTTGAGTGAAAAGCAATTTGCAGAATGATGTGAACAGCATGATATTATTTTATATCTCTTAAAAAACATAAAACAATATTATGAGTTTCTATGAATGCAGATATGGACGGGTAAGCATAATTTAAAAGAATTGGAAGGATTTAAAGAAAATTGATGATAGAAGTTTTCCCTGGGAGGAGAAGGGATCGGGTGATTTTGGAAGACAAGAGATTTATCTTTATCTGTGAGGTTTAGGTTTTTGTTAAAAAGGTAATTTATTATCACAAAATACTCTTTTAAAGCATCAAAACATGGGTAAGTTGGAAAAAATACATCAAAATATTAACAGTGGTAAATTTTTTATAGCAGAAGTATGGCATAGTATAGTAGAAGTATTTAATTCTATTTCACTGTAATTTTTTAAAACTTCATGAATAACTAAAAAGTATGAGTCATGTTCTTCATTTCTGTCTCAATCAAAAGAGATTAAGGTTTGAAGAAGTGCATGTTAATCAATTACCTGGCATTACAAACTAATCCTGTTTTTCTGCTTTGGCATTAAGATTAAACAACATGCAAGTTGGGACCAAATTCATAGTTAAACTTTTTTTTTTTCCTTAATGGTGGTACAGCTAATCTTTAAATACAATGAACTTTATTCCTCACCATGAAAAACCACCAACTGTAAAAGTTAAATGTCAGGTGCATTTTACCAAACAGAATTAGCTTGTCATGAGTCATATAATTGATGCAGTGATGTACTTCTTTCAGCCCAACCTCACTTGTTTTGAAACGTACATTGTGATTTTACGCGATTGTCTATGTTGTCGCATGCAATTTAGATCCTCATGTTACTTAATAAATGCTTTTATTTTCCTCCCTTGTCCATAGCAGGACTTCCTAGAATGTTCTCTGTAAGTGTATTCAGAAGTTCAAAATGTTGAGGACTAATTTTAACACTACAGCTTGTTTCTTATTCGATAATGAGGATCTACTCGATCGAGTCGCCTGCCATGCTTCCATTTAGTTTTCCTTTTTGTCTTGTTGTCTTAAGCATGTCTTTCTCTCCCCAGGAGTGTTTTACCAGAAACAGATCAAGCCGCCTGCCTTTGAGTGAGAAATGAAACGGGTCTGGGAAATGTGGACACGGGCCTGGTGTCCGTGTGACGCTGTAGACTAGGAGACGACCGAGGTCTCGTGCCACGAGGACCACAACAGAGCACTGTGATTCCCACTGTGTAACTCCACTCTTTCTTTTTCCAGTTCAATTTCACCATTTAGTATTGAGAGCACAAGACGCCAGAGACGGTCTGAATCCCCAGACTCCAGAAAACGGCGTATTCACAGATGTGATTTTGAGGGATGCAACAAAGTGTACACAAAAAGTTCTCACCTGAAGGCTCATCGAAGGACACATACAGGTACAGCTTCGCAGGGCTTCTCGTCGGAGGGTCAGTGAGAGGCCCAAAGGGCCAGCTGCTCCACGTCAGGGCCAGGAGGATGCTGGGACAGCATCGTCGTATGTCCATCTTAAGTTCCGTTCCTCTCGGAACAGAATGCTTTCCCACTGTCAGGTGGAAAAGGCTTAGGTCTCAGTGAACTTTAGCAACCAATGAAGTATTTCTTCTTTATTTTAAGGAGTTTTATAATGATATGAGCACCATGATCTACTCTTTAATAATCAGCACTGCCACTTATTCCTTGTCTGGGTCATCAGATTTTAACATGTCCACATAGCAATCAAACAACTGACCTAAATTATTCTCTTCTCTTAAAGTTATCATTTTTCATCACCTTGATCTCATTCCCCAAGTAACCAAACCAATAAGCCAAAAATCATAATAATGCTGAGGTTAAAACATACATAGCACTGTGAGGAGTTTTAAAAAATATTTCCATGTGATTCTATTTGATTCTCACTGGTATTTTTTCACATGGAGAGGATTTTTAGTATTTGTGGTTTGCAGAGAAGGAAATTGAGACCACAAGTGATTCACTGACTTTATCACCATTTATCCACCCACCCACCTATAAACCTGTCCATCCACTTATCCGCCCATTCATCACTCACCTTCCCACACAGGAAATAAACTGCTGACTCTTCCCTTAGCCCCTGACACCCCTCCCCCCATTGATCCTTTGCCAGTGTGTCCCTCAGCCAGCATCCCCTGGCTTCCTTGGCTTCTGGACCCTGTTTGGTGCCACCTGTGGGTTGCTCTGGGAAGAGAATGAGAGAATGCAGGTAGGAGGAGGACCCTACAATGATACTACCTTTTCTAGGAAATGTCACTGGTGATTGACACATGTGAAGCTCAAAGAAGCAGATATAACAGGGACATTTATTCACACACATTCCTGGTAGCAGCATGTCACAGATCGAACAAGCCCAGTCCAGTGACTGTCCTCCGCAGAAATCGGTCTCCAGCGCCTGCGTCTGGCGGAAAACTTCAAGTGTAACGGGTTCCTGTGTAGACAATACTTCCATCTCAAATAGATTAAAAATAACCCCACTACGTTAAAAATCATTTAAATCGGCATTCTTTGCCATTGCTGAGTCATGTTGTTCCGTGATGGTACTTCCGCAGCTCCTTCACAGAGACTGCTTCAGGTCCGCACCCGAGCTCGGCGTCGTGTGTGGGGTGAAGTCAGGGCGCAGGGCAGGCTTCCCTGAAGTCCGAAAAGCACTGTAGGGTCTGGAGTGGACTTTTTTGCTCACTTACTGCTGCCTATACTGTTAATGCTGCCCAGATAATCAACACATTTTGCAAATGGCCCCTTCCATCGTTCTTCCCGGCTCCCTGTCCCTTCCCTTTTCCCACTGAATTCCAGTTTCTTCCCTCTCCATTCATTCTGAGCTGGCCCAGGAGAAGTTTTCTTTTATTGCTCAGGCACTATTTTTTAATCAGTTTCTTTATCATTGAGGCAAAAAATGAGTATCAAGACATGAAAGTGGAATAAACATGTTTTGCTCTATCACTAGATAGTGAACAGAGATCTTAGTGGTAAATGTGATCAGGTCAGTACTTCTATGGGAGCATTTCTGTTTAAATCATAAAAGAATGACCTTTTTTAGTAAATCATCATATCTTTGGAGTTATTTCTATTTTCCTTGAACATTCTAAAATACGTATTAGCTTCTGTCACACAGAACAGTGACAGAGGGGGACAGGTGTAACACAGTACTGTTAAAAGATCTAACTCCATGGCGTTACAGGGCTGCATCGGACAGGTTTCACCATATACTATGGAAGTAGGGCGGACACATGCATTATAATACAAAGCAATATTAGCCTTGAATGCTGAAGTGGAATTAATTAGCTTGGCTTATTAATAAGATAAAGTCATAGACTTCTAGAATCCAAATGGTTCAGAATCTAGTTTGTTTCCTACGTAAGGAAATCCCTTGGGTGTCATCCCTCATAGAGATCCAGTCACTGCTGTGCTGTTTTCTGCACACTTATGCATCTTTCATTTGATCTTCACACCTGGTGGTGGCAGCTGTCATTCTCTCCTGTGTATACAAGTGTGTTTCCTGATGGAGTATTGTTCACACAGCAGTCATTTTCCCACCTCTCTTTAAACACTTTTCAGGTCACAGGGCTTATTCTTCTGCAAGAGAAGTTGGGTGAAATTTCTGAGGGCACAGTCTTCCCTTCTGTAGTAGAAAATTAGATACGTGGGTTTAAAACTTAGTAAAAAGATAATAGCTAGACTGATACATTGTGTTTTTTAATTAAGTCTGGCCAATGTGGCTCAGTGGTTGAGCATTTACCCATGCACCAAGAGGTCACCGGTTTGATTCCCTGTCAGGGCACGTGCCCAGGTTGTGGGCCCAATCCCTAGGGGGGACATGCAGGAGGTGACCAATCAATGTTCTCTCTCATCGATGTTTCTATCTCTTTCTTCCTCTCCCTTCCTCCTCTAAAAAAAATCAATGAAGAAAAAAAATTTTTTGAATAGATATAATTGACATATAACATTATGTAAGTTTAAGGTGTACAATGTATTGATTTGATACATTTATATATTGCAATTTGATTACTACCAGAACAAGTCTATAATGTCACATAATTATCTTTTTTTTTAATAGTGAGAACAGTGAAAATGTAGTCTCTTAGCAATTTTGAAGTTTACCTTTTGTTGATTATAATCACCATGCTGTGCATTAGATCTTTAGAACTTACTTATCTGCTTGTTGCTAGTTTGTACCCTTAACATCTCCCCTCTCACCATGTTGAATTGATTCTGACAGTGGTGCTTGACTCTCCGTCCGTTCTGGTTGACTGTCCCTCCAGTTATCACACTGGGATTTTCGCGACATGGCCCCGGTGCTCCTTGTAGCATCATCATGAACCATTGGCACCTTCATTTCTCCGGACACCTCAGTTCTCTCGGCCACATTCTTCTAGATATACTCCAAGTTAACACTGTGTCTTCTTAAGTTTTCCACACCACAAATTGAAGGAACAGGTTTTGTTAATGGACATCTATTAATAGAGGCAAAGATAATGTTGTGTTCTAACAGCGATTCTCTCTGTTAGGTAATCTAAATAAAAACATAAAAAATGCTGAAAATTAGGTCTTGTCCATCCTGTACCTATAATTGATTTATTTTAATCCTAAATGTGAGCATGCAGTGTTGTATTTTTAGCTGGACTTGCCCCTCATACGGTGGCCCTTTCAGGGGTATAGGCATACCTCGGAGATATTGCAGGCTCAGTTCCAGACCGCCAGAGTAAAACTAGTCGTAACCTTTTTGCTAATGGAGAGTCTTGTTTTCAGTTTGCAAAAAATGCAACATCTGTGGGTGCAATAAAACGAGGTATGCCTGTAGTGGGTTTCCTCTCCCTGGAGGTGTTTAGCCATTGTCGGGATGATCTCTCGTGGGAGACATAGGGCAATATCTTTTTTACGAAGGCAGCACATACCCTTTCTAGTCTGGGAAATAATTATTCTATATTCATTTCACTGATTTGGGCCCATTATTCTATCAAACTGAAACTACTTTGAACCCTCTCCCCATCCACCTTACTCTTAGTATTTCATCTCTCTCCTTCAGCTTCTCTCTTTGTTTGCCAGATATTGAGTAGGACAGGCTCAAGGAAAAAGCCCTGAGAGGTGATCCTAAAGACTTTCATCCATGTGGGTCTTAATTCATCAGTCAGTATCTAGAAATCCACCTGATAGTCCTACATCTAGTCCCTGTTTCTTGATGCCTCAGCTGCATCAAAGACTCTATGTGAAATTCTTGCTACAAACCATATGCCAAATGCATTCATTAACATAGCAGAGATATACTCTGCACAAGGTATAGTTTGCTAAACTATCAGTCAAATCACAGTATTTTTAAAAAGAAAGAATGACATTTGGTTTATTTGCTGCCGCTGGTTCAAAGTGAGCCCATATACTGATTCCTGATTTATAATTATTTGCAAAGTTTCATAACTTCATGTTCAAAATGAAGTCAACACTAGTTCTGTTGGGATTCAGGTTGGTTTGCTTTGCTTTTAATAAATATTTTCTTAGCCTTACCTTTGCTTCAGGCATATTGAGCAAATTATTTGTGTATGACCGATAATACTGTGAAAGTTTGGAGTTATAACATATGACTGATGAGAACTACACACGCTATGGGAGATAAGCAAGTGGTAATGAGAAACTTTCTTTGAGAAAGTCATGTTAATTTACCTTTAACACAGTAAATGAAACATTTGTAGGAGTGTGAAAGAGGAATATTTTCTAGATATTAGCAAGGAATTTAGAGTAAAAAGGGAAATGATTAAGAATGTTTTTTTTAAAAAAAATAATAATAATTAAGCATATTTTCATAAATGTGCAGTTTAGATAATAACATAAAGATTGGACCAAATATTTTTAAATGCCTTTACTAACATACTAGTGATAAGTTGTTTAGCCATGTTAAAAAGGGAGAAAATATATATATCTCAACAATCATACACGTGATTGTCAACATGTACATTGTTCCTTTTCACTGGTCTAAACTCTGTGTGATTCATCTCCATGAAGCAGGGTACTGTGTATTTATTTATTTATTTATTTTTTGTTTTGTTTTTTGTTGTGTTTTTTTTTTATCCTCACCCGAGAATATTTTTCCATTTTTTGTACAGATAGAGTGGGAAGGAGAGAGAGAGAGAAACATCGACGTGAAGGGACACATCGAGTGGCTGCCACCCGCACGACCAACCAGGGCCGGGGACAAACTGCAACCGAAGTACGTGCCCTTAGCGGGAACCGAACCCAGGTCTCTCCAGACCGCAGGCCGACGCTCTAACCGCTGAGCCAAACTGGCCAGGGCTGTACTGTGTATTTAAATAAACATGCAGTATATGTAAATTAGTGGTCATTAAATCTAGCTATACACAATAACTGTACTGCAAATTTACCTCCTTTTATTTTAAGA